AGATTTGAAACCAGGATTATTATCACTAGAGTTGATATATACTAGGTTTATAGTATCCAAGAGTGTTGTGATTCAAAATCAGAAGCCATCCAACCTTGTATATGCCACATTTTCATTTTACTCCTGATTGATATTATATTACCCTTGATAAGCAAATGGAAGAGCTTCAACAAATTATTACTTTAACATTTAAACTTCAGCCTTCAACTATATTTTGTTTTCTTCATTTAACAATAAAAAATCAGAATTGTGAAGTGAGGTGCTGTACAAATATTGATAAATAACTGAAAATGAAGTAAAAATGGTTTCTGAATCATAAATGTGGGTACAAAAAGACTGCTGAATGGTAGGAAAAATTCTTGTTCTTGCCAGTGATCTGCTGATTTTGCTGCCAAAGCTGATTTTCTGGCAGTGCTAATCCCTGAATTTGAATGGGATCACTTAGGAATGGCCCAAAACAGGTTTTGGATGGCTGTGGATTCACCTGGGAGGGAGACTTTGGAAGATTAATAGAGATGGCATTAAGAAACAAACATGTATGTATGATTCAGGAAGAACTGTTCATTTTGGGGATGATATGGGATGATATAAGATGGCATGGAAACTTTTCTGAGTTGATCACTCATAGTTTGTTAACAGAAGGTTTAGAAACTTGTCTTTTATTATTGTTCTTGTTAACTATTTTGTCATTACTATAGTATATAGATGACAAATTAGTAATTTGCAAATAGATTCATATTTCAAAAATCTTTGGGGCCTGTTTTGCAAGGGATAAAAAATTAATATAGTAGTCATGTATTAATATTCAACTAGGGGTATAATATGTGTATACGTGTTAGATTTTTTTCTACTTTTCAATGCACTTTTTAATGAATTGTTTGTAATATGTTTGTTTTTGTTTGCTCATTTTTTTCATTTTTTGGAGATTTATATTTTAAACTTTTTTTTAATAAAATCAAAATTTTAAAAATGCGGGTGCAAAAATGTCTGGCTCTTGTTTGATTCAGCAATTCTTTAATATATGTCTCACTTTTTTTAACATCAGGAGATATCTGAATCCCTATTATTTAAGAAATATATTTACAAGAAGTGAATTCTTGCATCTCTTTTTTATTGCCTTGGTGGTTTACAATTGGTCACAGAGTTAGGCAGCAAATAAATTTAATAAATTATTGTTTTCTTTTTCTAATGGTGAGGGTGCTATACAAAGTAACAAAAAAAATTAATGGTGGCCCATCTATTCGCAGTTCATTTATATTTGCTTGGTATCACTGGCAGTGACTCAACTCATACATGTGCCACATGAATTGCTCAATAAAGCAAACTTGAGATCACTATATGTTCAGAAGACAATCTACATATTAATTTGCTATTTATAAGTAGACAAGAAATTATCAAGGTTGTACAGTTAATGCTCAGTGTAATGCTTAGTAATTAACAATAAAAAGTACTATGTGTCATTTTAGAACATTAAATTGTTTTAGAACATTAAAAGTAAGAATTTATATCTCTGAGTCAAGTGCTAAAATCTCCACTATCTATGATTTGCCATTGCTGCACATTCTCTGAGTTTAAATTCCCAGTTTGATATTTTCGATGTCATAGCTCTTTTCCAGTATTGTGCTCCATTTATCCTTTCAAACACCTATCTTAATAAATTCTGATTGCTTGCTTAAATTGTTTTGGAATTATGCCTAGTAAAAAGAACCATGGTTTCATTTCAGATTTCTGTTTTCTTAAAAGCAAAGTATGATTTTCAGTGTATTTTTTGAATCACCACTTTATATATCTATTATCCTTCTTGAGAATGTTGTTTTTCTTGCTTATTTAGGGGTGAAAGCAGGGGTGGGATTCTACCAGTTCAAACCGGTTGGGGCGAACCGGATGTTAAAGTTACAGCCGGTTCACTGAACCGGTATTTCAACTGACTGGCTGCCCCTGCGCATCCCACCCATCCCAGGAGTCTCCACGCGGCCCATTTCTGACGGAGGTAAGTGCACGGTCCGCATGGAGGCTCTGGGAGAGGGAAAACTGGGCCTTCTGGAAGTCTGGGAAGAGACCTGTTTCCGGCTTCCGGAGAGCCTCCAGAGCCCGGGGAGGCCATTTTTACCCTCCCAGAGGCCCAGGGAAGTCCTCTGGATCCTTGGGAGGGTGAAAAATGGCCTTCCCGGAAAAAATGGAAGTGGCAAAATGGGCCTATTTCCGGCTTCCAGTGGGCCTCCAGAGGCCAGGGAGACTGTTTTTGCCCTCCCAGAGGCCCGGGGGGCTTGCCATTAGGAAGTACTTTTGTTGCACACCCGGATTTGGTGCTGCCTGCGTTGACCCCGATAGGAAGTGCCCCACCAACGCCGAGGTCAACATCCAAGCCGTCACCACCCGCCCACCCAAAGATGCAAGGGGGGGAATTAAGTCACCCCAAAAAGACAGCCTAGCCATTTTTTCGGGGCTCAAAAAGAAATAAGACCCGGCCTTATTATATGAGAAATACGGTAATAGCTGGTATATTGTTTTTTAAATATAAAAATGCCTGAATATGTTCTTCTTTGGATCAACTTTAAAGTTTGTCACTTGAAATTGCTCCCTAGTAATTGATGTCAGTATTCAAGGTTTGTGTGATAATCATCTGAAAATAAATTATGATAATTTTAGATAAACTACTTGCTTGTATAAATTCTTGTGTTTACTAAAATCTATGCAGATTTACATTTTTATTAATTCATAAATATAAATTGAAGATTCTTCTTTAAGATGTTAACTTTACTGCTTGTTTTGTCATAACTGTCTCATTCTCTATGAACAACTAAAACTGTTTTCATACTCCATCTACTGAATTTAAGAATTCCTTTATGTTTAAATAAATGAATTAGCTTGTGTTTTTGGATGGTTCATGTATATATATTGGAATGTGGAAGACTGCAAATTTGTGGAAAGACTAAAGGAAAGGTTAATAAATGAAATCTTAATAGTCTGCCATTAATTCCCAATTGTAAGATAAGACTTATTTTTAATTTTATTTTAACTCTCTATTTGTTCCAGTTATATTAAAATTTTAAACCACTAGCGCTTTTGATATGACCCAGTTGTGAACACTTCCCTATACTGGTTTAATAGCATAATGGAATGTGTGGATGACCTTGGAGAAAGAGGGAAATAATCAGATAAAAGAGGCAGGGTTGCCTTAACTGTCAGAGAAAAAACATTTAGGGAAGACCTGCCCTAATGGATCAAGCAATTAAAAATGGCCACGAGAAGTTTGTACTTTCAGACTTGCAAGACTCTGTTAACGTAGACTTCATAAAGTAGAATAAGTTCATTTTATGATGTTTCCTGTCTGGTTTACTTGGAGGGCTGACAATGGCAGTTCCTTCAGAATCCTGATTGCCAACTCCCAAGAAATGAAGTTACCAGGGCTCCAGAATTCTCACAATGTCTACTGTGGCATGAACTGAACAGTGTCCCATGTATTTGGGCTCCTGAGAAATACAGTTTTGCAGGCATTTAATGTGAAGTAAGATTGGAATATGAAATGCTGACAGGGTCATGTGTTAATGGAAGCTTCCTTACTACACATGCCCCAATCCAATTGTTACACTTCTGGTTCTGTTAATTCAGTTTGAGGGGAGGGAGGAGAAATTGATTCAATTTGGAAGGGGGAAAAGGAAATATCAGGGAGAACCTTCAAGTTTTTATAAGACTATGTGGGCTCAAAATTGTAGAGGTTTAAGACTACATCCAGAGGATATCAAGTTTAGGAAGGTTGGCAGATAAATCACATGCATCTAATCACCTAGCTAGCAATTGACAAATAATGGTGGTGTTGGCCAATTTTCAGTCCTTCAGGATAAGCCAGGCAGGAAACATATCCAGGAAGGACTTATTGCTGTAGGGTATAGTAACAGAATCTTCAGTCATGGAAAGAATCTTGTCCAAGTTCTCCGTTTCATCTTAGACTAAAGCAAATCAAGGTAGAGTTATTTTAAGTCTCTTTCTCACTATTCTTTCTACCTCTTGACTTCATGTCTCGCTCAAACCTTCCCAAATGTTAGCTTTAAATTTTTTTACACCAACAGATGTAACCCAGCAGCTAGTCTAGGGTTTCTTCTGCTCATCCTTACACATAGTATATATTCCTAAGTAAGTATTTAGAACAGCTGTTTTTCTTTTCACCTATTGTGGTGCTACAATTTGAGAAAATTTGAATTGTGAAACTGCAGATAGCTAGATTTTTTTTTAAACTTATATCTGGCAGTAGTCACCACCACCCCAATTTTCCAGGTATCAGGAGCTTAAAAGCACCTGTATGGCCTGTAATGGAAGAGGAGAAATGTAGTTGTGTGGTACACAGCTAAAATTCAGCATAGCCATTCTTAAAGCATTCACTTCCCCATAAGACACAGTCTAAACTTGCATAGATTTGCAACCACAGGATGAGTATTTATTCCAGTCAACACACAATGTCTTATATACAGTAGTATTGTGTCAGTTTTAAATAAGATGGTTTATTAATTGATGTAAGTTTCACATGGCTTTCATAAATGTTTATATACCAGCATCAATGTTCTGTCATAAATTATTCTTGCAACTATATCCAAAGTCCAACTACCTGTCAGAATACAATTTAAATCTACACATTTATCCTGAAAAGATTACATTTTCAGGATCTCTGTGTTTTCCAAATGTGAACCTATCTGACAGAAATGTGTTGATTAGTTTTGCTTGTGTTTAAATAAAACAGTAAACGTGTGGGCATGCTTGTGAATAAAGGGAGAATCATAATTCCTTGTTAATTTTCAAATTACTACTATTCACAATAATTTCTTCTCTTATTTTTCTGAAAGGAACGTCTTGTCAGTTCTCTTCTAAGTACAAATAATGTTTTATGCATTTTAATGTGATAATGTCTGTAAGGAAAATCCATTGTTTATGACAGTTATGTTTTATCTGTTTGTATATATTTCATTGTATGTAATGTCTCACTTTTTCCTCTTTTTCTTTTGCAGTCACTGGATGGATTTGTATTTGCACTAAACCAAGAGGGAAAGTTTTTGTACATTTCGGAAACTGTCTCCATTTATCTTGGCCTCTCCCAAGTAAGTAGAACATTCACATTCCATTTTAAGGCTCACTCTTTTTAAAATATTCTGGAACTTTTCACATCAATTTGAATTTACAATTTAATGGCTTGGTTTTACACATCCTAGAAGGTGGTGTAAGCTGGAAAAAGAAAAAGTGGGAACTTGAAAAACCCTTTTCTCCCATAAAAAAATCATTATTAATTTATTGAGAACAAATGAAGTTTCTTTTCTCAGTTGTTTTGAACTTTAAACCTTCATAGCTGTTAGGAAAGGGACACAGACATAGTGCTTCCCATGTGCCCTATTACTGGATGTTTATGGAGAATCCGGCTGTTATCCTGGGAGCTGACACGATGGCAGGGAGTCTCTTGGAGTCAGGAAATGCTGAAAGAAACCATTAAAAAGACTTACAGGGAGGATTTCAAGAAGGGCACAGCGTCTGCTCTTTTTGCACATGTATAAATAAATGAGAAACAGTGCAGTGTAATTGTTTGTTCTTTTGTATCATTTCCTTTTAAAGTCTAAGACTATGAAGAGGAAGATTTTTTTTTTTATTTGTTACAGTTAACTGAGCTGTCAGTAACTGTGGGATCAGAGATATCCTGAAAAAATTGGGAAGCCTTGGACGTGTTTTTTTACAAAATGGGTTACTGTGCCTATAATAGAATTACACTTGAAGAACTCAACTATGATAACATTACATCTTTTTTGCATAGAATGGAGAGCTGTACTGGATGTTTTGCTTGCATTGCTGTGATTATTAAGACAGTCCTTGGATTGTAACTTTTCATAATATTATGATTTAATTAGTTGTCCTAAATTAAGTTGAAAATGTTCAACTAAAGTAATCAATTAAGAATTAGCAGTGCTGGCTATGCATGTATGAACATCTGGAGGAAAGCCAGGATAAAAACCTAATAACAACAATAGTTACAATAACTTAGGTAAAAGAAAAATACCCAGGACTTAAAATAATGAAATACCAATTCAGAACATTATTTATGAAATGTCCATTGGTTATATTGGTTTACATCCATTCTCTCTCTCTCTCTGTCTCTCTTTCTCTCTCTGTGTATGAAAATGGCAAGAGAATTAAGAGCAAAATTCAATATATTTTTATATCTCACTCTGATCTTAGTTTGGAATAAGATGTAATTCCTGCTTTGATTGTTTGGGTGTCAGTTTCAAATGTTTCATAATTCGTTACTAATAAATCATACATTATAAACTCCATTTATTAATGGAGTTTTTTTTAAAAAAAAACACAGAATACATTAATGGTTATTATTGTCTTGGGTTCATCATATTATATATTAATCTGTTTTATGCAGTGTCCAAAAAAGTTTAATAAAGCAGCGAAAAGAAGGGTGGTTAATCAGTTTAAACAGGTAAATACTAATTAGGAAACTCCTGAAAGGCATCCATCATTATACACTATCTGAAAACAAATTTAACAGCCCTGGTTAGTGGTGTAATCCAAATTCTGTCAAGGCAACTGCATTTTCTGTAATTGAGATGTGTATGTTTGCTTTGCATAACAGATGGCTCTGTATGCTTAGACTGATAGCTAGGAAAATAATAATTGCATTATTCTGGCCAAAAGAATATTAGCTCTTGGGCTGGGGCCATTTTAGGCAGTCCTCCTGCCAGCACAGCATATGCACATATATGGATTCGATTTTCAAGGAAATTGATGCATCTGGAATAGTGTCACCATCTGAAATATCATCTGTTCAAGAAAAAAAAAGTTGGCTTTAACCCTGCCCGCATCCTCCTTGCTAAAAGCGTACTCCTGTAGTGAGCTGCAGCACCATTACACAAACTTTTTTGAACTACAGGCAGACCCAGCTTTCCACAGATTAGGGCCCTCCAGCTGCCTACAATTTCAGCTCCCATAAACCAAAACCTAGACTCTGGGGCAGGTTATTGCTTTTCTGCTTACAATAGTGGGCTGAATGTAGCATCTGGCCAAACAATAGGGAACACCTTTTTTCTTTTTTTAGTCAGTGCTTTGCTGAAAAACGTATGATTAAAAATAAGACAGTGTAATTGCCAATAAAATGAGTAAAATCTGCTTCCTGAGGTCAAATAGTCTGCTTCAAGGGCCCAGCCTTTGGTTGGAAAAGAAAGGGGGCATCATACTGAGTTCAGGATAGGTTGGCTGCTTTTTAAAAATGTAAGGAAATATTTCTCAAGATCCCTGATGTGATTATTTTCGCCGTTGTTGCAGTGCAAATCCATTCAGAGCAGCTTTGATCCCACTGAGAACACTTTGATGCAGTGGACAGATGCACAGCCCTTTTGATGCCCTGGGGAAGAGCTGTACTGCTCTCTCCATTTTTGAGAGAGGAAATGCACAGCCTGCCAAAACAGAGATTGGCACAGGAGTTGAAGAGGGTCATTATTTAATCTCTATACGATGTATCAAAGTTTCTTGTCTGTTTCCTCTTGGCAAAAAGACCAGCAGAATTAGCTACCTAGGTAAGGTGTGGGAGTTTTATTTCTGTTCATGAAAGGCTTTCTTCATACTATATTCCTATCATTCATGTCCTGTTCTTTGCAGCTTAAGCATTAGTGGTAGGCTCATTATCATTTTCTTTGGAATGACCTGCAGAATTGTGTACACATCTTTGACATTCTGGGTATTTTGACAAGATGGTTTCCTATCTGTATGTGTCCAATCACAAAATAGTTATCTAGCATCAGATCATAAAATAGCTATTTATTGAAAGCAAACTGGTGAGATTGCTTCCACTGTTTCCTCCAGACTCCAAGAATGCTGTACTCTACTTCATCTTCCTTGTTTTGTCTGAAAGAGTCTGGAGACCTTGAGCCATCTTTCCTGTTTTTCAGAATTCATCATACAGTCCATAATAATTGTTACAAATATAAATGATGCTTTGGGCTGAAAACCTTTCTAGGCAGTTTTCTATTTCTTGGGTTATTATTTAAAAACAAAAGTTCCTTTTCCCCACTTTCTCCAGTACCAAGGGCAGAAACATCCTTCTACTCACCTTTAACATATTTTCCGGGTTGAAGTGTCTGCAGAGTCTTGATAATATGGTGTGCCAAAATGGATAAAACAATAATGGGACAGGTTGTCGCTCCCTGTTGAAGCACCAGTCAAACTTTGGGAAAAGAGAACTCTGTCCCTCTGTGGCCTGCCACAATTGCATCTCTGTGGGAAAGGGGATAAGAGAGGGGAATATTATTGAGGTTTAGGCTACAGTGGAGTCAGTCAGGAGGGGAATTGTTCTCCATCTTGGATTGCAAATAAAGGAAGAGAAGGGATGCTAGCCAGTGGTGGGATTCTACCAGTTTCCCTACTGGTTCGGTTCACTTAACGCAGGCATGCAGTTTTCCAAACACCAGCTGAGACTCTGCAGTGCCAATCATCTGAGAGGATAAAGAACAGAAAAGCTCAGGGGCAGGTGGGAGGACTGATCCTGCACTTTTCTCTTCTTTCTCCCCTCAGCTGATCGTCAGAATTTTTTTTTTTTACTACTGGTTTGGCCAAACAGGTAGCATTTCACCACTGATGCTAGGTTTGTCTCGCCAAAGTATTATAGCCCCCTTAGACTTGGGCTGATTGTGAAGCATTGAGACATTCATGGAAATATGAAACAGACATGATCACAGTGAGCAACACTTCTTCATATAAATGAGCAATTGAGAAAGATACTGATCATTCGGGAGGGAGGGGAATCAAAGCTTATCTATAGATGGCCAAATTTGCATCCTTAGATGCGACAGTTCTAGTTGCTACTAAGGTATTGTGTCTTTGATCTCTGGTATGTTCAAGTAATTTGTATCTCAAAGGCATTGTGTATTTCGAATTAGGAGAGCTGCATTTTATATGAGACTGTTATTCAGCAGTTCATATATTTGCCTATAAACCTCCTTTTTTAAAAAAAAAATATTGCAAAAGAAAAAGGAGTGAGCATATTTAAAAGAATAAATGAGTGCTTAAGTTACAAATCTATAAACTATTCCAAGTATCATGCTACCTTTTCCCCAGAGATTCAGAGATTGCCAGTCTAATAGCCTTTCCAGCAGCTATGATGTTTTCAGTATTCATCACTAACAGTGATTGCAATAATCCACACTAAATTAAGCATTCTAAAACTTTTATTTACTGCAGAAGAAAGCGAACATCAACAGAAATTACTGTGCCAGTGCAAGCTCAAAAAATTTTCCAAGTGTGAAGATCATTGTAGCGACCTGTTATGTTACTGAATTCTTGTTTTTAATAAAAGTGCCAGGAACAAGCTTTAAAGGGCTATGGACTTGCTTTGAATTCATAATACTGTAATTGCCATAAAATAAACACTGCTGGGTTCCTGCTATTAGCTGGCAGAGGTTGCAGATCTTTACATAAACTTTACAGTTTTTCAGGAATTTAATTGTTCAGTAGTGTTCGGTTTGTATTTTTTTGAAAGTAATGCTTCAGTGACATCTTTCTATCTACAATGTACAGTGTATATGCTATCTTTTCTTCAGAAGTAGAAGGCAGCCTACATGGGATTCTCTCTTAATTTAATTCCCATAATAACCCTATGTAATACATTGCACTAAGAAATAGTCATTCAGGGAGTTTCCATGGATGAGTGCAGACTTGAACTTAGGTTTCCACAGTGCTACTCCAAAACTTTAACTATAGCACCAGAGTGGTTCTTTTCTTAACTTTGATTCTGTTGCTAAATATTCAAGCTGGTTTTAGAAAAGGCTGAGGAACAAGAAACAATATTGTTGACGCACACTAGATAACTGAAAAAACCAATCATTGTAAAATGAAGTTACTATATGCTTTCTTGATTATAGAAAGCTCTTTCATTGTTTTGATTGATTGTCAAGTTGTGGAATGGCCTTAGGGAAATGGAAATCCTAAAACATCTCATTTTCTTTATGTGAAACCTATACATCTGACAAGGAGACACAATCCAGGCAGAACAAGGTGAAACAGACTGGTGGCAAGCTGACAAAGGTGTAAGACAAAGCTGTATATTTTCTTCTTATTTATTAAAATTATGCTAAATATATATTGAGGGAGACGAGATTTTTAAATCTAGAGAAAGAAGCACCAATAACCTGCGCTATGCTGATAACTCTTTTCTGAAAGCTGAAAATGTAAATGAACTAGAAGTTTTAGTAATGAAAGTCAAGGAGCAAAAAAATGTGATTAAGATTAAGTATAGGGGAGACCAAACTAATGAGAACAGATACAGCAACCAGTATTCGAATTAACAGCGAAGATATAGAAGTGATGGAGAGCATTTTCCTTTTAGGATCTACTATCAAGAATAAAGGAATAACCAGTAAAAAAAATACAGGGCAGATTAGCACTTGGTAAGATATCAATTAAAGTGTCTATACTTACAAAGATCAGAATAATGCTGGAAAT